TTCCCCCCACAGGAGACACACTGTCCTAACTCTGAAACTTTATTTTTGTATTCACATGTGAAGTATCTCCAGCAGTATAAATGGCTAAGCTGACACCAGGCCATGTTAAAGTGTGAACTGCATAAATATTCATCAGTAAGTGAGCAGCAGTGTGGAGGAGAAGCAGCGGAAGATCTCAAAGGGATACTGTGATTTTTTTCTTCTTTTCTTATATTTTCTTAAATATTCTTGCTGCGGTGGAACTGAGTGTGTCAGAACATTTGCTTCTTTTGCGATTGGAAATGTCATCCTTGTAACTCTCAGTCAAATCTAAAACCAGTTATTGCCACAAGCACTCTTTGTCCTGAACTTTCAGAGACCAGATTAGTGGCTTTGTGAAACTCCTTTTTCCCCGCCTTGTTGTTTCTCACAAGCCCAGAGAGATAAAATGGAGGCTTTTAGTCCACTTTCATTGAGCCAGATGATGCCTCCTATCCTGCTGGTGACCCCCCACAGGCACTGGATTGTGACCCAGCATGCCAGGCCTCCGGGCCTCTCCTCTCTTCTAACTTCCTCTGAGCGCGCTCATCTCATATCTCTCCATCTCTCCGAGTCCTTATCACATAAACACAGAAGCACCATATTTTAATCATGCCCTCGAATAGAAGACACTTTTCCAATTAATGGAACCGCCACTGTGATGCACTGTAACTCCAAAGCTGCAATGCGCAATCAGCCAAATAAGCCGCTGCTTGATGTATAACTGCCTYGCGAGTTCTGAATGTGAACATGATGGGTTTTTGAAATGGAGAAATCCGCGRTGAATGAAAGTCTGCTGGTGAGGCAGCAAAGTGGCAAAAATGAGTGAGCAATGCTCGGGTGAAGCTGCTGATTGGCCAGCAGTAAATGTCTGTGGTCAGCTCTCAGGCGTGAATACATGGAATTGTGTGAATGTGAATAGTTTTACTAAAAAAAGATCATGCAAGCTAAGCAAAAAGCTACCCGGGATAAATCATAAAGGGTCAGAGGCTGCTGTCATCAAATAGTGTCAAGTAATATCAGAAACTATTGACGGGTCGCACAACAGACAGGCTGCAAWAGAGTTCTTCTCAACAAAGAGTGCTTTGAGAGCTTATGCCTCACAGTGTAAACAGTGAAAAGAACTTTAGCAATAAATGGAAGCATTGCAGAGTTTTGTGTGCCTTTGTATTGGCACTTTATTTCTATAGCACTGTATATTTCCCTGATTCTATTCCTAACTTTGGCTCACTTCAAGTAGGGGTAGAAMATTTACTTTTAACAGCTCGCAAAATAACAAGGTAAAGAAAATACAGTGGTTCTGGTTAGGATGAAAAGAGATGTTCACWTTAAGTCATCTGTTCATCTTCTCACAAACGCACAACACTTAGAGCATGTGTCAAATTCAARGCCTGAGGGTGAGCAWTTTAGTGGAATAGCCCTCTATTATTGTATSAGAATAAGCTGCTTTAAAGCCAGCATTGACCATAAACTCCATCCCCCATAAKGCATGTCGATTATGCACTRGAATTTCCTGTAGGAAAGTGGGAGAGTTCAGAATTTAAGACTTACCACAACACAACAGCAAGTAAAACTCTCTTTCTTTTACTTTTAATAGTATTTCTGTATTATTTATTTCACATTTAGTAATTGTCCACATWGTGCCTTTCAGTGTTTATAAAATGACTCGTTGAAACACTGTTTCTATACAGGAAATACCATGTAGAGCTCAGTTATTGTTTGTTAGCTGTGCAATGAGAAGAGGAACGTGACGATTTCTGTTTAGTATTTTTTTCATCCATTATGAAACGAGGCTCTGTGAAAAGATTTTAAAATAACTAAAAAAGTTGCTGATTGCTTAATCACTTTTAAAACTTGCTGAAGAAACAAACTGAGCTGAAAGATGAAAGCAAGAAAACACTAACWAAAAGGTAAAAAAGCTAAAAATAGCCGAACTAACCAAAACAAATTAGCATTAGCAAGTAGCAAAATTAGTACTGTATTAGTAGAAGTAGGAGTAGTATTACCATTATTGTAGCAGAATTGACTTTATTGGTAGTAATTATACCTGAAGCATGTTGATGTAGATTTCAGAGATCAATGGTTAAAATGTCAATAGTTGAATATAGAAAAGTTACAAAAAAATCAAAACTTATTTCCATGAATGGCTAAAATAGCACAAAGTACGTAGAMGTAGTCAGAGAAAAGTGGATCATGCTAACATGCGTACATTTTTACATCATCAGTTTCTCAGTAGCTGTTTACTTAGATGATTACTTATGACAGGTATTTTACTCTGTTTCTGCTTAATTAGCCATATAATATGAAACTGATGACAAGGCAAATGTTTATAAATGAGTGTTTGCGTGATCCTCTATGAAAGTTTGAAGGCAGCAGTTGTTTTAGAACAGAAATACTAGCGTCCACTCCAACTGTAATGGCAGGATAATCATTTCTTTTTCAAGTAAACTTACTTCTTAAATAGATCACTGCTATCTTTAAACAACTCCAGTCTGCAGAAGCTACATTACCCTTTGTCCGTTCTTGTGAGCTGGATAACTTGATAACTTCCGTTTTGGTGTGTGGCTGCATCTGGGCACAAGTAAAGTTCCAAAATTGGATTGCTTCGTCAAATTCCAATATGGTCATGTAAACCGGCCACCCCAGTCATTCAGGAAAACTATGCTTTCTAGTGTTTATATGGTTTAAAAGTTTAGTTTCTTCAAATGATTGGGATGGCTGGTTGGCTGGCCGAAGACTGAGCCATGATGGGCAGGGCCACCATTGGCCACTCCTCCAGCTCCACCATTGCATCTAGTGGTGGATAAAATTGCCTCCTCTGCTTGCAAGGATCTGTTAATCTGCGTTATTTCACAAGCAATAAAAATAAAATAAAAAATACCTTTGTTATTATACATAGTTTAACTACTAACCACTTGAAAATCTTTCACCAAATCTTTTATTGTATTACTTGTATTCACTGTTCTGTTCCGGTTACTTAAATCCTTCAGTGACAGGCAACATCAGGACCACTTGTTTAAACCTTTACATTGCCATCAGTTTTGCATTATGAGGGTTATTTTGGGAAAAATATGAAGATATTCTTGCCAGACTATACCCAATGTGCTACAGTTAGCTGCCACTGATGATTTTTGCACTTTCAAGCATCCAAGGAGTTCTATGTAGTGAGAAATTGACCATGGTGTGAAGGCCTATAACATTTTTGTTTTAAGGAGGCAACCACCTGCTTGTACTTTTACCCCACTTGAATTAGCCATTAGCTCGTCAATCCTGTCAAACTTAAAACTCAGTATTTTTAAACTGAGGTTGCAGTTGCAGCAGATCTGATGTATATTTCTTCATAACCTTTCCACAGAGACCCCACTTCCGAATATCTCTTTAAATATTCACTCTCATATTGCAGCGTTTTATTCAACTTGTGCACTTCACAGCTTGCGTTCTTTTCCCTCCATGTAATAACTTCTCCCCCCACTTCATCAATCAGCCTGACACCAATCAGCGTGGATCTGCTGTGCGTAACATGTTTGCAAAACAGAATCACTTTCTATCGCCCCGCCAGTCTCAGCAATATGTTGTGCATTTTACACCTGGCTCTCCTCTAAAGACACACTCTTTCGAACAGAATTAGAAGGGAATTGGCTGCTCTCCTGCATTGACAGGGAAGGTTGAACGGGTGTATTAACCAGAAGTAATTGAATGTAGAAGCAACAGTGCACAGTTTAGCATGGGAATTAACCCCTGCACTGCTGCTCTTTCCGTCTAACTTRGAAAGGGAACCAATAAAGCTCTTTTTTCCACCTCCTGTTCTGCTTTGGACATTTTTTTCGAGTTGTGGTCCTGTGAGACCATATCAGTTTGACCCAGTTCAGTGGTATTCATCATGAGTGACAGGCAGGGAGGTAAAAAAAAAGGATAACACCTTTATATGTGAGCAATGAAGCTGTCTTATTGCTCGTTAGAAAGCCAAGTGGATGCTTGCTAGAACTCTTTTTTGAAAGCAACAGAAAAGAAAAACCCACCATGGTTCTGTCTCGATTGGGGTTGCAGCCATGTAGGGCATTTTTGTCAGCTGCTTACGCCACTGCCCTGCACTGGGTGGAGCCAACGTTCACTGTGGTCCACGTGGGCTACAACCCCCGTATTGAGACACAGCCCATCAGTTTATCTGGGCTTTATTTGTCCCCTCTACATACGTCACACAAGTGGAGAGAGTCTATTCTTTTATAGGATTWAGACAACATTGGCGTGATGTGGAATCCAGAAAACATGCAGATGTTGGATTTAATCTTGACTTGTTCACAATGATCTGTGACATTTGACTCAGTAAGACTTAACCTAAAGCCCATTTGCACCTAAATTCACTGCAACATTTAATCTGACAGTGAAAAGCAGAACTGACCTTAGCAGATTCAAGTTAAACTCATACATTTTCTGCAAGCTTTTTATCATTTGAGTCTTTATTTTGTGTTTTTTTTTTTTGTTTCTAAAACTCTCAGAAGGTCAGGTGAAGATCCCACAGATGGCCTTACTTTCAGGCTSTAATAACTGGAGCAAAGGAAAGAAAAGGTTGAGATTGTATCATCTGCATTCAATGTGTGAGAGAGGGAAAGTAAATACTTACAAGAGGAAAATTGCCTATACCACATGTCATGGCTAGAAATTTCACTGCACTAACTAAACAGGGCACATTCTTCACCAYGAATATAATACTCAAGTTTCAATCTAATGTGTATATTTGTAGGTTCAAACTATGTTTTGTATATACTCTAATATTTAACTTCAGARCATCTAAAACTTGATGAAAGTTGTATTTTGTCATTTGTTTTGGAAGGGAAGAACCCTTCTTAGAAGAGTTGATGGAGTTTATTTAAAAATAAAACTGAGTACAGTTAGGTCCATATCTGTAAAGYAAATTAAAGCACCTGCTCTTGTTTCACAACCGGCTCCCTGACTTGTTTAACGCTAAACTGTTCTTTTTCCAGATCCAAACTTTCCCATTGTGCTGTGTGTTTGACGATCCAGTGGATGCTTTCAAAAAGGCTACAAGTGAGACGCCTTTCCAAGGTAGACCAAAATACATACAAACCACWTAGTTATCCCTCTAAAAGATACATTTTATAAGAATGAAAGGAAAATTAAAGTTTTCTTAGGGCATTCATGTGTTATAAATGTCATTGTAAATGAAAGTTAAATCTGTCACTCATGTATTGTGAGGTTACGTAACGTTAAAAAGATTAGAATTGAAATAACAAAGAAGGAGCTGATTTAAGCAAAGCAAGAAAGGAGACAGACTTATTGAACRAATGAAAGCCCAAAGTGAAGCACTCTAATTGTCCCAAAGGGAGTTTACACTTGAGTAGTTTCAGAAAAGTATGAAGTTCAATCAACAAGAGAAAAGAGAAGAAAGAACGTGAATGGAGGAGGGGCAGAGATGGAGAGCGATGGAGGCAAAGTCCGAAAGACTGAGAGGTCTCCTTAACGTCTCCATTTTGTACGGAGCCGCAATCTGAGCTAGTTTCCACCAATTACATTCGTGTCAGTGTGTGTCCTGGATTCAAAATGCAACAACAGCCTTGAGGGGCCTTCACTCTGCTGGTACGCACTCAACATCTCTCCCTGCCTTCCTGCCACTCTAGTATTCCTCCCTCACATACACGCACGCACCGGGACACACGCATCAACCCCCCACACACACGCAAACACGCCACGTATGCATGCATCACACTCACACTCACAATAATCTCATCACTCCCTCCAGCTTTGTCTCTTTTTGTCACCCACATACACTCACTCTCTCTCTCTCTCTCTCTCTCTCTCTCTCACACACACACACACACACACACACACACACACACACACACCTTCCAACCAACCAGCCAAATGCTTTCCCACCAAGCACCCACTCACACACACACACACACACACACACACACACACACACACA